ATTTTATGGTATTTCTACGCTTATTCAATGCCTGTTTGATTGCGTTTGGTGTATGAATGCGTGTTTGGAGCTGTACTGGGACATGATCGGTGTTCACCAGCGTGATTGTCTACCTGCGCTTGAAGTCATCTGGCGTCGCTGGCTCCTCACCTGTTGAATCATGGACTTCGCCGGGCCCCTCTGGATTATCCTGTTTCTTCTGCACTCTTGGGACTACTTTGCGAGCGTGACAAGTGAGCTCAGCCCCTCGGACCATGGCAACAGTCATCAGATTACTTATTCAGGAGATACGTTGATGCAGTTACAACTTCAGCCTGGTCGGGATGTTTACACCGGGGTTATTCCTCGCGAGATCCAGCGGGATGACTCCTCTAGCACTTCACGCTCCCACAGTAAAAAGACGCGCAGAGGAAAGAAGAAGGCCGGGGTCAGAGCCAGGCTGAAGCGCGAAAGTATGAAGCGGCGTGGTCTTCCCTCTGTCATACTATCCAATGTGCGGTCTCTAAGAAATAAGACAGACGAACTGCAGGCTAACATCAGCCATATGTACGAGTACCGCACCGCATCAGTCTTGGCATTCACGGAGACTTGGCTGAATGAAAATGACAACAATGATGCTCTTCTCTTAGATGGTTTTGGCTCCCCCCTGCGGCTGGACAGAGACAAGCACCTGACTGGGAAACAGCTGGGAGGCGGTGTTTGTTTTTACGTCAACCCTCGCTGGTGTACCACAGTGACAGTAAGAGAAAAGTTGTGTAATTCAGACATTGAATTATTGGCCATTTCCCTGCGCCCTTTTTATTTGCCTAGGGAATTCCCCCAGCTTTTTTTAATTCTCACTTATGTCCATCCTAAGGCAAAATCAGCTGCTGCCATTGAACACATTAAGAAAACACTTGATAAATTGGAGTTGATCTCTCCTGATGCTCCTAAATTTGTAATGGGCGATTTTAATAAGTGTTCACCAGATAAATCACTCAAAGGTTTCCAACAGTATGTGACTTGCACAACCAGACACAATAGCACACTTGATAAGTGCTATGGCTCAGTTTTAGGTGCATATAAATCTGTCCCACTTCCTCCCATTGGTTCAGCTGACCATCTTGCTATCCTGCTGGCACCATCATACTTACCTGTAGTCAAACGGTCCCCCCCAATCACTAAAACCATCAAGCAGTGGACCCCTGGTAGCATTGATGAGCTTCAGGGATGTTTTGAATCCACTGATTGGGACTGTTTAACATCCTCGGGTGACCTAAATGATCAGGTGGAGACTGTGTCAGCATACATAACATTCTGTGTTGATAGCATTATTCCCACAAAGACAGTGACTATCTTTCCGAACAATAAGCCATGGATTTCCAAAGACCTGAAGCAGACATTAAACAAGAAGAAAAGAGTATTTTTCACTGGTACAGATCTTGAGAGAGGTCAATAAGGAAGTAAAACGTGCCATCAAAAAGGCTCAGAAAAACTATAAGAACAAGGTAGAGCTCTCCTTCACTCAGGGCAATCTCCGAGCGGCTTGGCAGGGACTTAAGAACATGGCGGCTGTAAATACAGTTTCTTGTGGACGTAAGCCCATTGAGATTGATGGCCACAATGTTTCCTCTCTTCCAAATGACCTGAACCTCTTCTTCACTCGTTTTGAAAAGGACAACTCCACTGAAGTCACTGAGGTAGTCTCCTCCTTAACGCCCAGGGGAACTCCTCTCACCATCAGTGAGGAAGAGGTGGTGCGCTCCCTGAAAAGGACTAAAATCAACACTGCTCCAGGTCATGACAACATCTGTGGACGAACACTGAGACACTGTGCGGAGCAATTGGGAGGGGTCTTTAAGCTGCTCTTCCAGAGCTCCATTAACAACAGCACAGTGCCGGATGTCTGGAAACAGTCCACAGTGATCCCAGTCCCCAAAAGAGGAACTGCAAAGGTCCTCAATGATTTGAGACCTGTGGCTCTAACCTCCCTAGTGATGAAGAGCCTGGAGAGGATTGTTAAAGGCTTCATCACTGAAATGGTTGAGCCTCTGATGGACCCTCTGCAGTTCGCTTACAGGTCGGCCCGGGGTGTGGATGATGCTAAAATTTTTATTGTAGACACCATCCACAAACATCTGGAAACCCCAAATTCAATTGTCAGGCTCCTGTTCGCTGATTTTTCATCTGCTTTCAACACAATGCAGCCTCACATCCTTGCAGAGAAACTAACATCAAGTTTCCATCTGGACCATCAGCTCGTCTTGTGGATTATGAGCTTCCTCACAGGGAGAACTCAGAGAGTTAAAGTGAACAATATGATGTCCAATGTTCTGCTCACATCCACTGGCTCTCCACAGGGATGTGTCTTATCACCCCTTCTGTTCATCCTTTATACGGACAATTGTAGGTCAACTCAGCCAAACTGTTATTTGGTTAAGTTTGCTGATGACACGGTTCTCCTGTCCTTACTGTCTGCTCCCTCTCTGGGTCATGGTCCTGCTCTACAGGAGTTCATCTCATGGTGCAATGACTCCCACTTAGAGCTCAATATTAGTAAAACTAAGGACATGATTGTGACCTTTTCTAACAAGCAGAGACAGCTTGCAGAGGCTGAATCTTCTGCTATCAGGGGAGAGCGTGTAGAGGTGGTTCATGAGTATAAATATCTAGGGACCATCTTTGATGACATGCTCAAATTCTCCAGTAACACTGAGGAGCTCCTAAAAAAATGCCATCAGAGGCAATATCTTTTAAGGAAATTAAGGGAGTTTGATGTCAGTCCAAACATCATGATGACCTTCTACCATGCCTTTATTGAGAGTGTTCTTTCTTTTTCATGTGTTTGCTGGTTTTACTCTGTCACTGCACAAAGCAGGGCTCAGTTAAACAGAGTAGCAAATGTCTGCTCTAAGATCATTGGCCTGCCAATCAGATCCCTTCCTGCCCTGTGTGATCAGCAGGCCATGAGAGTGGCCTGTAGGATTCTGGGTGACCCTGCTCATGTTCTCTTCCCTGTGTTTGAGTGGCTGCCTTCAGGGAGGAGGCTGCGCTCGGTGGGATGTAGGACACAGAGGAGAAGGTCCACTTTTGTTCCAACAGTGATTCAGCTGCTGAACTCAGACCAGTCATTCCCCAGCGCAGTGTTAAAACGCTCCTAACATGAACTTATACAGGATGTGTGTGTGAATGTATTTATGTGTTTTTTATTGATGTTTTTAAGCATTTAACTTGCAACTCTCCGTGCTTTTTAATTGCCCCTCGGGGATAAATAAAGTGATTGATTGATTGATTGATTGATTGATTGATAGGGCGCTGTGGCTAATGCTAATGCTAACATGAGCTAATGCTAATGCTGTGGCTAACGCTAATGCTAACATGAGCTAATGCTAATGCTGTGGCTAACGCTAATGCTAACATGAGCTAATGCTAAAGCTGTGGCTAACGCTAATGCTAACATGAGCTTTGCCATGTCGTGCTGCTGCTGTGTTAACCTCACACAGACTTTATTCCTCCATGTGTCTCTTCTCTTCACACCGCGTTTGTAAAACTATATTTTATAATAGATCCATGGTAAAACTATATATTATAATAGATCCATGGTAAAACTATATATTATAATAGATCCATGGTAAAACTATATATTATAATAGATCCACATGGTAAAACTATATATTATAATAGATCCACATGGTAAAACTATATATTATAATAGATCCACATGGTAAAACTATATATTATAATAGATCCACATGGTAAAACTATATATTATAATAGACCCATGGTAAAACTTAGTAGAGTCTCTGTGTAGGGTGCTGCGTCTGAACAGGTCTTGTTTACATGTCGGCTCCACGCGACGTGCCCGAAACGTTTGGAGAGATCCGGTCATTTATCAAACTAAAGTATTCTTTCCTTGGCAGTCTGGTGAAAGACTGAGAGTTGAGGAGCACTGTCAAACAGTATAGGCAACAGTGTCCTCAACTCTCCAGGCACCCGTACTATATTAGACTGCAATATAAGATCCCAACGCTAGAGGCACTAAATATTACACAGTGTACCTTTAAACAAGATTCTTTCTGTCGGACAAACCACAAACGTAGGTACACCAGCTTTTATTACACAGGCCTATATCTGCCCACATCATAGATTGCACACAGATTTGCAATTTGCTATCCTGCTTTCTCAATGCTAACCTGCTAGCTCATTAAAGCCTGATAGGAAAGTGCTCATGGACAAAGTTTGTCTCCAATTCGCTCTGGCTTCTATTGTTCAGTTTCCGTCACACTCATTAAGGTCAACACTATGGTGTTGTCACACTCACTCCACTCTCCTCATATACAAACTATTGTTTGTTGTTCTTACTTTTTGGGTGGCACCTGTCCCACGTTGACCCTCACACAGATCACTTTCCTGGTCTGGACTCCTGAGGCGCAGGACCCTCTGGCGATGGTGCTGTTGGAAGAGGAGGAGGTGTCTTCGGTGCAGGCTCCCCAGGCTCCGGTCTGCCAGTGGTACACGGTGCAGGCATGTTCGTTACAGTTCCTGACCTCCTGCAGCGCGCTGCTGTTCGGACACAGAGCTCCCCCTACAGGTGACAAGAAGAAAATACATGATCAGCCTGGATCTGCAGCCTCAGTCCTGGATCTGCAGCCTCAGTCCTGGATCTACAGCCTCAGTCCTGGATCTACAGCCACAGTCCTGGATCTACAGCCTCAGTCCTAGATCTACAGCCTCAGTCCTGGATCTGCAGCCTCAGTCCTGGATCTACAGCCTCAGTCCTGGATCTACAGCCACAGTCCTGGATCTACAGCCACAGTCCTGGATCTACAGCCTCAGTCCTGGATCTACAGCCTCAGTCCTGGATCTACAACCTCAGTCCTGGATCTGCAGCCTTAGTCCTGGATCTACAGCCTCAGTCCTGGATCTACAGCCTCAGTCCTGGATCTACAGCCTCAGTCCTGGATCTACAGCCTCAGTCCTGGATCTACAGCCTCAGTCCTGGATCTACAGCCTCAGTCCTGGATCTACAGCCTCAGTCCTGGATCTACAGCCTCAGTCCTGGATCTACAGCCTCAGTCCTGGATCTACAGCCACAGTCCTGGATCTACAGCCTCAGTCCTAGATCTACAGCCTCATGTCCTGGATCTACAGCCTCAGTCCTGGATCTACAGCCTCAGTCCTGGATCTACAGCCTCAGTCCTGGATCTACAGCCTCAGTCCTGGATCTACAGCCTCAGTCCTGGATCTACAGCCTCAGTCCTGGATCTACAGCCTCAGTCCTAGATCTACAGCCTCAGTCCTGGATCTACAGCCTCAGTCCTGGATCTACAGCCTCAGTCCTGGATCTACAGCCTCAGTCCTGGATCTACAGCCTCAGTCCTGGATCTACAGCCTCAGTCCTGGATCTACAGCCTCAGTCCTGGAGCTACAGCCTCAGTCCTGGATCTACAGCCTCAGTCCTGGATCTACAGCCTCAGTCCTGGATCTACAGCCTCAGTCCTGGATCTACAGCCTCAGTCCTGGATCTACAGCCTCAGTCCTGGATCTACAGCCTCAGTCCTAGATCTACAGCCTCAGTCCTGGATCTACAGCCTCAGTCCTAGATCTACAGCCTCAGTCCTGGATCTACAGCCTCAGTCCTGGATCTACAGCCTCAGTCCTGGATCTACAGCCTCAGTCCTAGATCTACAGCCTCAGTCCTGGATCTACAGCCTCAGTCCTGGATCTACAGCCTCAGTCCTGGATCTACAGCCTCAGTCCTAGATCTACAGCCTCAGTCCTGGATCTACAGCCTCAGTCCTGGATCTACAGCCTCAGTCCTAGATCTACAGCCTCAGTCCTGGATCTACAGCCTCAGTCCTGGATCTATAGCCTCAGTGACCTGTAGTTTTCTCTGGTTTGAAGTTTAGTTACTTTTGGTATCCAACATGCCTTTCTGTAACAGTAAACCTAAACATTCAATCTACTTTAGTCAGAATAAAAAATAGCCACCTTCTCTCAGGGCTCACATTAGAACACTGGTTTTCACATAGCTCTGTGGGAACAACGCAGCCAGAGACAGCTCGACGCTGAGTGACTTCGTTAACAACATGTTCATTAATTTGACACTGTGGCTCCACGCTGAGTTCATTATGAACACGCCAATCAGAGCCTCAAGAGGTTTGAGCAAGGTGTAAAGACAGGCAAGAGGATTGTGTCTCCTGATTGGACTAGAGAACAGGAGGATAGTACGTAGCTCCTGATTGGACTAGAGAACATGAGGATAGTACGTAACTCCTGATTGGACTAGAGAACAGGAGGATAGTACGTAACTCCTGATTGGACTAGAGAACTGGAGGATAGTACATAACTCCTGATTGGACTAGAGAACAGGAGGATAGTACGTAGCTCCTGATTGGACTAGAGAACAGAAGGATAGTACATAACTCCTGATTGGACTAGAGAACAGGAGGATAGTACATAACTCCTGATTGGACTAGAGAACTGGAGGATAGTACGTAGCTCCTGATTGGACTAGAGAACAGGAGGATAGTACGTAACTCCTGATTGGACTAGAGAACAGGAGGATAGTACGTAACTCCTGATTGGACTAGAGAACAGGAGGATAGTACGTAACTCCTGATTGGACTAGAGAACTGGAGGATAGTACGTAACTCCTGATTGGACTAGAGAACTGGAGGATAGTACATAACTCCTGATTGGACTAGAGAACAGGAGGATAGTACGTAACTCCTGATTGGACTAGAGAACTGGAGGATAGTACGTAACTCCTGATTGGACTAGAGAACAGGAGGATAGTACATAACTCCTGATTGGACTAGAGAACAGAAGGATAGTACGTAGCTCCTGATTGGACTAGAGAACAGAAGGATAGTACGTAGCTCCTGATTGGACTAGAGAACAGAAGGATAGTACATAACTCCTGATTGGACTAGAGAACAGGAGGATAGTACATAACTCCTGATTGGACTAGAGAACAGGAGGATAGTACGTAGCTCCTGATTGGACTAGAGAATAGGAGGATAGTACGTAACTCCTGATTGGACTAGAGAACATGAGGATAGTACGTAACTCCTGATTGGACTAGAGAACATGAGGATAGTACGTAACTCCTGATTGGACTAGAGAACTGGAGGATAGTACGTAACTCCTGATTGGACTAGAGAACAGGAGGATAGTACATAACTCCTGATTGGACTAGAGAACATGAGGATAGTACATAACTCCTGATTGGACTAGAGAACAGGAGGATAGTACGTAACTCCTGATTGGACTAGAGAACAGGAGGATAGTACGTAGCTCCTGATTGGACTAGAGAACAGGAGGATGGTACATAACTCCTGATTGGACTAGAGAACAGGAGGATGGTACATAACTCCTGATTGGACTAGAGAACAGGAGGATAGTACGTAACTCCTGATTGGACTAGAGAACAGAGCTGAAGAAAAGTAAAGATAGACCTCCAAAGCCATCTTGTGTTTTTGTCTTTTTCTTTCACTTTAAAGAATAAATATAATGTGTTATTTTTTAACCCCTAAAGCATAATCTTGAGACTATTCTTTCGCATATATGTTTAAAATGTAGACACACATAAATAAAACAGGACACACATAAGCAGAGTAGGGCTGTGACAAATGATTGGTCATTGAAATAGTTTCTGACTGACTTAGTGATCAATTAGGGCATGGCAACTCAATTTGCTGAACAAAACAAGAAAAGAAAAATACTGCTACTGCTACTAATACTGCAACTACAACGACGACTACTACTACTACAACTAGTATTTTAGACACACATCACATCCCACATCAAGCTCATATTTACCAAAGAGCTCAGGAAACTTTGGCACCTGTGAAAGACCTTTGAGAAACATAAAACACAGATATTCACCGCTTTTCTGTATCTGACATAACACAGTGACAGGGAGTGACTATAATCTTATAAGTTTCACAGATAATCTATCCTACAACCTATATTGATTTAGGTATACAGTATATTAGACTGATAAAGTTACACAGTTATCTATATGCCTTCAAATATGATCATAACTTACTCAAAGTACCTGTATACTAGAATAAGTAATAATAATTAGGTTTTTTATCAAATCCCATTCGTATTTTAAGTTGACAGTTTAAAAGACGTCTGACATTCTCCCAAATTCAACTGATTGCTTTGCTTTAATTCAGTCCTTCTTTGAGGTTGCAAAGAACATCAATAATTACAGTCTTAGGGTTAGGGTTAGTCTCTTCAACCTATTTTCATCACATGCTTGCAGTACATCAACTTCACAAGCTAGCTCGCCACACTTCACTAACTAGTCACACATTGCTAACTAGCCACAAGCAGCTACAATCCCACAGTTACCCTCTATCACGGTGATCCAGGCCACCACCATGGCTGTGACTGAAAAGATAAAGATGAAGAAAAGCCATCAGACAGAGGAGAGAGTGAGAGAGCGATCAGGCAGATGATAAAGACTCAAACACTGTCCGAAAACACCATTCCAATCAGCGGGAGATAAGGGGGCGTCGGAGATAAGGCACTTTCGCACAGTGACAGCGGAGGAGGCTGTGATCGCAGAAAACACACACTGTTTGCTTCATCAAAACTGTCTGTGGACTAGTAATGCTTATTTGCGCATAAAACATTTTAAGAATAAGTGAGGGGGTTGTTAAAGCTGGGGTACCTGACTTTGTTTTTCATAATAAACATTGCTTGTCTCATGAGCAAGAGTAAAAGTAATGCTGTGGACAAAACAGACGCGGCAGTCTGTCTTCATCTTATTAGAAAAAGCCATATTGAGTTATAATTTCATGCTTCTGGCTGAGAGCTGATTGGCTGAGTGAGGGTGGTCATTTTGTTTTTATCTGAAAATGCTGATCAAAAGATGTGACAGTTGCCAACTGAGAAACAATGGTGAGAGAAGGACAAGCAAGAGACCAGAGAGAGACCAGAGAAAGACCAGAGAGAGACCAGAGAGAGACCAGAGAGAGACCAGAGAGAGACCAGAGAGAGACCAGAGAGAGACCAAAGAGAGACTAGAGAGAGACCAAAGAGAGACCAGAGAGAGACCAGAGAGAGACCAAAGAGAGACCAGAGAGAGAGACAAGAAAGGGACACAAGAGACCAAAAGATGTGAGGCCAAAAATACATTCGAACTTTTGGTTTAAATTTGCAGCAACTAAACAGCACAACTATTGTTTAAATTTTTTTTGCCAGAGTTTGTGCTGTGAAAGGTAAAGATAAATCGATGGATTGATGAAAATTAAATCTAAATTGAAATAAAATTAGTTTAGTTATTAGTTACTTCTGCCTGGACGATAAGGGAACAGGCAATAGTAGATTTCGTACAAACCTACTATAGACTTTGAAAGAGTTTTAAGACCTGTTAACACCAGTCCTCCTCTACTTCTTGCATTTCCCTTTATTCTGTAGTTTCTGGTACCTACCTACACCTAACCAGTATTCAGGGAAATTCCTTAGTAACTTGGTAAAGGGATTAAAGTGGGATAGAGTAGAGTAAAGTAGAGTAAAGTAGTTTAGAGTAGGGCGGATGGAACTGGAGTATGACTCACAAGCACTTATCAACCTGTGTTTGTCTCACCTTCGCCAGCATTGTAGGCCAGGATGGAACGTGTCCTCATCTGCTTCCCTTCGATGGTTTTGCTGGAGCAGGTCTGGGAGCAGGAGGTCCAGGGGGTCCAGTCGCTGAGCACACAGTCTCTGGGGCAGGGCACCTCACAGCGCTCTGGAGCAGGAGGAGGAGAGGAGGAGCAGAGGCCCCGGTCCACCTCTGACCCTGAGCAATCACAAAAACACAAACAGCTTTTTTTCTGACACTGGGCACAATATAGAAGCTTGGCCACCGTCTGGATCCTGCTCCCAGCTGCCCTCTTCATAGGCTGGGTTTCGAAAGTGGTTATTCCACTCCCTATAGACCAATATGTGTTTGTTATTATTGCATTTCCTGCGTTGAAGCTATTTTCTCTCTGGTCTATTTCTGGTCTCTCTGTGGTCTCTCTGTGGTCCCTCTCTGGTCTCTCTATCTGTGTTCCCTCTCTCTGGTCTCTCTCTGGTCCCTCCCTCTAGTTTCTCTCTAGTTACTGCTTTCTGATCTGCTTTTGTTGAATCTAAAACTTTGTAAAGTCTTCTGAGCCAACTGCTGTCGTGATTTAGGGCTTTACACACATACATTGAATGAAATGGCATTGAAGTTTCATGGGGTTTGTTGTCTCCTATTAGCACCTGAAATCACATTGATTAACATTGCCCAAAACAGAATGAAGTAAGAGAAACATGCAATGTCCCTATGTGAGTAAGGAGCAAAGCAATAATTCATGAGTTGCGTGGGCAGATGGGACTCAGACCTGGCATGACAGACAGGACACAGCAGACCCCCACATCTGCCTGAATAATGCAGTCGCTCTGGACCCACTAACCCATATATACGTCTGCACCGCGCCAACGTTCTCCTTTGAAGTATGTAACATGAGCTTTTAGAGAGCCGTTAGTGAGCGTTCTCTCAGCGTGACTTTAGTTACAGTTGTGTTTGGACTCTGAGTTCTCTTTACAAAACTTTTATCCATATGGGTTTGTGGAAAAAGCTGCTTTCTCTCATGAGTATAACTATATAGAACAAACTTTTATTCTTTTTCAAAAACAATCACACATTCAGACACACACACAAATACAGAGAAACCTGGAAACTATAATCATCCATAGCTACTTTTTCAAACCCCCACTCACACACACATTCACGCTGGGGGTTAAGTGTCTTGCCCATGGACACAAAGCTGTATTCACCAATGGGAGGTGGTTTCTGGCCAACCTGTGGGTCATCTGACTGCTCAACCAGTTATATTAATGTTGGGAGCAGGATTCGAACCACCAACCTTCAGCTTGAAGAAAAAAAAGACCCAAACTCTATCCCTACATCTTTTTGTTTTTGTGTATTTCCTGGCTTGTTATTTCATAAATTTTGTATCACTGTGTTATATATGTTTTCATGCTCATATGACTCGCCCTTTGTCAGATGAATACATGATTCTGAATCGGAATCCCTCTCACTCCTCGCTCTCTGCTGAAGGCATCAGTCTTTTCTCCATATTTCTACAAAAGCTCCAGAGATTTGGTTTGAGGACAGAGATGTTGAGTTAGTGTCTGCTGCAGAGAACTCCATTATGGTGTGGTTTGGGAACAGGAGGTGGAGCTAAACGACTGGTTTATTTCAATCTGGAGAGACGAGGAAACAAGAATGCCTTTGAAGTATTTTATTGAAGGTAGTTTGGCGCCCTAGGCCCCGGTGCAGCGTTCAGTCAGCGAGGCTCCTGCGAGAGTGCGCGCACAATCCCCCGGGACCTAGGCACTGGTGGCGGCATTTGGCAGCAGGAAGCAGATTGGAGGCAGGGTGAAGAGGAGGAGGAGGGGAGACGGTGGTTGCAAGGCTTTGAGAAGGCCGTGAAGTGGGAGTTTCTCCGCTTTTAAGCGGCTGGCCTGGCCGGCACGGATTGATTGGACGAGGGCGTTTGCTGTGCGATAGGCTGGGGATGCGAGGCCGGCCTGGAAGGGGTGGCTTTGGCTGACGTCTTCCAAATTGAATTTCCACGAGGCTGCATTTCACATTATACCATTGTTTATACCCTGACAGTTACCTTTCAAGAACACTTTAGTGGCTCTCTCTGGTCTCCTTTTGTGGTCTCGCATTAGTCTCTCGCGCCTGAATATCTCTGGTCTCTCTCAAGTTTCTCCCTCTCTGATCGCTCTCAGGTTTCTCTCCCCAGTCTCTCTTTTATCTCTCTCTCTTCTCTCTCTCTCTTCTCCCTCTCTGGTCTCTCCAAAAACCAGAAAAAGCCCCCGACTGCTGAGTTTGCATTAAGATGTCACTTTGACAGATATGCAGTCCACCAATCATGACCGAACTAAGAGCCGTGAAAACCCAAAGTGACAGTGGACTCCCCTCAGCTCCCCCTCACTCCCCCCCTCAGCCTAAGTGGTGTCCAGGCAGCGTGGAATATCAATATGCACTTTCAGTAACGTCTGTATCGACCTTGGCCCAGACTGGGAGCCGCCCACGCTGGCATTTTTCTTGTTGCGGTCGGGACAGGAGAACACAAGGAACACTGCGCTGAGGAATCAGTGCGGCGTGAATCCAAACAGCCAGCATCGATTTTCCTCCGGTGAGGGACGGGAGAGGGCGATCAATCACAGGGAGGAGAGAAAGTGCGTGGTGAGGGATAGAGGGGCGGAAGCACCTGCCACATAAACTACACAGGGAGGAGGTAATTCTATTGTATGTGGTTGTAACATATCAATACTAATAAGTATTGGTATCTCAGTATTTCAACACTGTCTTGACATTTTTTATCCTCTGAAGTTGAGTGTGATGTTAACCTGATTCTCGCTAGATCCTTTTAGTTTGTTGAGCTCCACACCAGGATCTGGGATTTCTCAATAGGACATATATTTCAGAAGGTGGGGCCGCGCAAATCAAGCCACCGCTTAAAAGCTGGACACTGCACACCAAACAGCCTTTTCAAGCCGCAACCACCTCCTCCCGACCTTTGCCTCAGAATATGCATGCTCACATCCACCTTGCCCTGTTGCCACCACCAGTGTCTAGGCCCCGGGGGATCATGATCTGCACTTAAGCTCAGATCCTCACAGAGCAAGGCCACAGCCGGGGCCTGTGGGTCAAACTAATAAACTACAAACCAAACTCGCAATCAATAAATCTTTTTAACGCATCTTGTCTCATTTTGTAGTCTCTCCAGTTTGAACTGCTGTTGTGATTTATGGCAAAACACAAACACATTGACGTGTTACAGGCCTAGACACTCTATTATGTATGGATCCATGATTATTTTCAACTTTTTGTTTCGTTAACCTCTCTGTGGTTTTTGTCTATCATTCATTAGCGTTCCGTATAATCACTCCTGATATGAACCCCGCTCCAGGACACCGCCGTGCTCTGGCAGTAACCAGACAGGTAGCACTGTTCTGGGGGGCAGAGCTGAATGGAGGGGGGGAGCGGGAGCTGAGGCCAGACGGTCGCTCCGCCCGCATGATGAGTTCATTAAAGCTGTGTAGTCGTAAAGTCTGGCTGTAAAACACGAGGCCGTGAAGGTTCCAGAGTTACTGCAGTCTTTTGGCTGCCTCACAGTGAGCTCTTGACAACAGTATCCAAAGTGTTTGTTCTTATTCCTGCATTTCCATCTCTGGTCTCTCTCTGATCCTGTTTGTCTCTCACTCCATCTATCTCTTATTTCTGAAAACGTTTAAAACTGTATTTCTAAATCATTCCCGCATTCAAACAGGAACTTCACCAGTGTAGAAAGCTCTTTGAAAATATCCTGACTAACTTTAGCCCTGGTTGTGCAAGCCCTACTTGGTCCTATCTACCTGGTAGCGTTTTCATTACCCTTCTGGTACCATATCCTCACAACCTACCTACAATAAACCAGTATTCATGGAAATTGCTTGGTAACCAAAGCTTCCAGCAGCATTTTGATAACTGTCAGTTACAACACTTTAGTGACAGCTTGGACTGGATGGAACCAGCACCAAGAGGGACTAAATAAGAACTTGGTACCAGTTAAACAGAGTAGAGCTGGGTTTGTGGAAGCGGAGCAATCCTATATCTACAGCCTGTTCGTCCGAGGGAGCGGATCCCTCTCTCAATGTGGGCCTACCCGAGGTTTCAATTTTTTTTCTGTTCAATTTAATGTATTTGTGTATCTCCCTAAATCACAACAGCAGTCGTCTCGAAGGACTTTACAAAGTTGTTGGTTCACGAACAACAGATCAGAGAATCGATCAGTTTGAACACAGAAAAAGCAATAATAACAAACACATAAAGTAGGAGCCATTGGTCCATAGGAAGCGGGATGGGCCACTGTCCGGTAATGTTAATAAATGTATTATCACTGTCCTCAGACAGTCCTCTGTTGTGGTGTGGAATTTTTGTTGGTTTACTTCGACCTGGTTTTAATGTGAGATATATATTTCTCTTGTTGTTTGAGTTTTAAATCCTGTCTCCCCTGTTGATTATTTGCCCCATCCTGATATACCTGTGTCTCCCTTTGTAGATGTCCATGGTGATATTTTCCCCATGTGTTGAGACTGGTTTCAGTTTTTACTTTTGGATTTAGTTCTTGTGGCATTTATACAAGTCAAGTATTTTGCTGATTTGCATTTGGGTCCGCTCTTGTTTTATCCTGTGACATAATCCACAATTTTGTAAAGTCCTCCGAGACGGCTGCTGTTGTTCTTTAGGGAGATACACGAAAACATTGAAGTGAGTTACTGCAGATACAAGTGTCAGTGGTTGAATTCAGACGCTAGAACACTTATATAACAGGTTTCCAGTTGACTTCTGAAGAGAATGGGATTATGATTTTATTGTAATTCTGGAGTTGACGTTCTGAATTCCCGGTATGACTGTCTCCTTCCCAGCTGCTGGTTTAAAGAGCAGCTTTCTGGTTGTGTGAGTGTGATGAACGAGCTGGAGCACAGGGGCCCCCCACAGAGACCAGGGGCCACACAGCTGACCTTCAAAAAGACAGCGTTTTCTCTAGAGTTATCACAGGAGAAAGGAAAGGAGCAACACCAATCCATCATGTGTTTTTAGTGGAAAGTAAAATACACATCTGGCAAAGCTCTAGTGCTTGTGGCTGGGTGGCAACATTTCGGGAATATTGCAACTTGGGAAGTTCCAATGGTACATGTATTAGAAAGTGAGAATGAACATTTATGTATCCGACTCCTGTTTATATGTGATCTCATGGCCATATCAGAGAGAATCTAACCCACGGGATTAACGAGAATGTTTTTCGAATTACGAATAAATAATAAAAAAATCCCATGTGAGTCACAATATGATGCCCTAGGATAAGACATGAATAAGGTTGTGGTTCCATGCTTAACAAAATATTAAATATATATTGTTCAAAAACTACCTGTGAGTTCAATCTGAAGAGACCAAAGACACAATTATTACATTAAAATGATTTATTTGTTTGGCGCATTGACCCCGGCAGTGACACTTGCAGCAATGAGATCGATTGCAGCTGAAGATGATCTCAGATCCCCCGGGGTCAATCACTGGTGGTGGCTAGAGTATGGTGTGAATGGGGCGTAGGCGGAGCAGGAGCCAAGAGCCAGAGGGGGAGCTGGGGAGGTGGTGGGTGTTTAAGAGCCTCAGGAAGCGTTGCTTGTCAGGAAGTGGCTGCCTTTTAAACTGCCCGCTTTGCTGTGAGAGGGTTGGCAGGAGAGGCCTGGCTGTGTGATTGGTTGAGGCTCGAGGCTGGCAGAGCTGTGTGATTGGCTGAGGCTCGAGGCAGGCAGAGCTGTGTGATTGGCTGAGGCTCGAGGCTGGCAGAGCTGTTTGATTGGCTTAGGCTCGAGGCAGGCAGAGCTGTGTGATTGGCTGAGGCTCGAGGCTGGCAGAGCTGTTTGATTGGCTGAGGCTCCAGGCTGGCAGAGCTGTTTGATTGGCTGAGGCTCGAGTAGTAGTAGTAGTAGTAATCTTTATTTATATACCGCCTTTTCACTGCACATCGGAGTCTCAAAGCGGTTTACAATTGTTATTTTTGGGAGCAGGGGTGCCAGTACAGGAGGCACATGCCAGACCTATTGTACATATTTTTAGTGGTAGGGGAAACCGGAGCACCCGGAGGAAACCTACGCAGACACGGGGAGAACATGCAAACTCCACTCAGAAAGGCCCTGGTCCAACCGGGATTCGAACCCAGGACCTTCTTGCTGAGAGGCAAGAGTGCTATCCACTCAGCCACCGTGCCGCTCGAGGCAGGCAGAGCTGTGTGATTGGCTGAGGCTCCAGGCTGGCAGGCACTCGGTCTTTCAGTCTGAACCTGAGCATTCAGCTTCATATCAGAAAAGTTTAGAACACTATCTCAGTACCCAGGCTTTTAAAAACTTTTTTCATATAAAGTTTCAACCGAGTTCAATCAAACCAGCAAATGTTAAGACTGACATTATTCACCTTAAAGTGGGCACAAAGTGGGAACAGAACCTTGGTCACCGGTTCTGTTCACTGTCTTTATGGACTGAATTTCTAGGCGCAGTCAGGGGCCGGAGGGGTCCGGTTCGGAGACCACAGGATTTCATCTCTGCTGTTTGCAGACAATGTTGTCCTGTTGGCTCCAACGAACCAGGACCTGCAGCATGCACTGGGACGGTTTGCAGCCGAGTGTGAAGCGGCTGGGATGAGAATCAGCACCTCCAAATCCGAGGCCATGGTGCTCGACCAGAAAAAGGTGCCTTGCCCTCTGCAGGTGGGTGGAGAGGTCCTTCCTCAAGTGGAGGAGTTCATGTATCTCGGGGTCTTGTTCACGAGTGAGGGAAGGATGGAGCGTGAGATTGACAGGCGGATCGGTGCAGCGTGCGCAGTGATGCGGTCGCTGTATCGGACCGTTGAGGTAAAGAGGGAGCAGCGTCTGCAGTCAGAGCTGTATCGGACCGTTGTGGTAAAGAGGGAGCTGAGCCGAAAGGCAAAGCTCTCAATTTATCGGTCAATCTTCGTTCCCTCCCTCACCTATGGTCATGAGCTTTGGGTAATTACCGAAAGAACGAGATCGCGGATACAAGCGGTCGAAATGAGCTTCCTCCGCAGAGTGGCTGCTCCCTTAGAGATAGGGTGAGGAGCTCAGTCACACGGGAGGAGCTCGGAGTAGAGCCGCTACTTCTCTACGTCGAGGGGAACCAGTTGAAGTGGCTCGAGCATCTGTTCCGGATGCCTCCTGGACGCCTCCCTGGTGAGGTGTTCTGGGCATGTCCCACCAGGAAGAGGCCCCGGGGAAGACCCAGGACACGCTGGAGGGACTAAGTCTCTCAGCTGGCCTGGGAACGCCTTGGGGTCCCCCCGGACGAGCTGGAGGAAGTGTGTGTGGATAGGGAAGTCTGGGCGACTCTGCTTAGACTGCTGCCCCCGCGACCCGGCAACGGATGAAGTGGAAGAAAATGGATGGATGGATGGATGGTTTCAACCGATTTCAATCAAACCAGCACCAAATGTTAAGATTGACACTATTCACCTTAAAGTGGGCACAAAACCCACTCAGTCTCTGTAATAATCATATATTATTTTATGTCAACTTGAGCTTGACTATTCCAGGGTGCTTAGAGGAGCCATTGATTATTTCAAGGACTGCATTTTTAAGAGTCTCGATTCATAAAGAACCTCCAGAACAGACAGCTCCCAGTCCTCTTTCACAACCTTGTTTAGAGCTCTCCTGTCTTCGTGATATTGCCGAAACACACAGTCATAGAACCAACAAGAAAACTGTCAACCCTGCAAAGATAAAAGTGATGCAATCAGGTTCTCCTACAGACACTGATGCCTTGATGAGTGATCTCAGATTCATCAGTCTATTTTCCCTTTGCAGTAGGACCACATTAGAATACCTGTGCAAGTGTACCCCAGTCTATATCAGACAGGGCCAATAGTGCACACCAGAGCTCCTGCTGCGGCAACATGTTGACAAAAGGTTGACAAAATAACAGCAGAGAGCAGTTACATACATAATTTAATACATAATCTAATGCTTCATCTAGTACATACTAACATCAGTGATGCAGTTGAGAAATAGTCAAGAGTCCTGGTTCTAAAGCCTCAGTCAATAGTTAAGAACAGCAGAGAGCAGTTACATACATAATCATATACATAATATAGTATCTCACCAGTGCTGTTGACACACTGCAGCAGGGAGGTCTGTGAGCCCACCCCACACGGCAGCTCTCCGTCTGGGACACACTGCTCCAGGCTGAGGACCCTCCAGCTCCAGCACAACGGCTCCTCACAGGGAACGGCCTCCACCAGGTGAGGGCAGTCTGCTCCTCCACCAGGCTGGGTCAGGATGACACGGCGACGCAGTTTAAAGCCTGAAATACATACAGACAGAAACACACGCAGTATAAAAATATTGGTACCTTTATTGCAAATTAAGTTTTAGTAATACGAATTGTGCAGTGATGACAGTCGACTGGAATTGAGTCGCTGTGATGAGTGTGGAAAGTGTTTAGGACCAGGCTCCAAAGCAGTGTTTGGAAGCAGGCTCTAAAGCCACGTTTGGGAGCGGGTTCTAAAGCCGTGTTTAGAAGCAGACTCTAAAGCTGTGTTCATGTAAGGTTCCCAAAGGGTTCCAGTGTGTTTCACTGTCAGAACAACAGAGGTGTAGCTAACCTACAGAGATGGAAACCTCTTTAAAGTTGTAATCAGAGACGACAGCTCGGCCAACGTAGCAGAATTTCCACACCAACAGTTGTGCGATTAGGCCAATTATCAAAGTATTGAAGAGAAAATAAAAAGTCCTCCTGTGGACTCAGCACTTGCACGAAGATCAGTGAGGGGTCAGTTTTCTGTGATTGCCAACCAGGAAAATAATGTTAGATTCAGTAAAGTTCTTAAGTAAAATGTACTTTTGAAAAAAAATAACTTGAATGTTCCATAAAGAAAACGTTGAACTGAATTTTGTAAAACATGACCTATCAGCAGATCTCTGTTTGCAGCCTGCATACCGGGCCGGCCTCTTGCAGTGCTGCTCTTACAGTAATGGCCACATGCACTAACCTTTGACTCATAATAATAATGATTCACATGAAGACTCCGATGATGATGTTATGAGTAACTCAGAGCAGCAACATGGCCTCGTTCTGTCAGGACCTGAGCGTGTTACACCACACTCTTAAAGACGGTCGTTCTACAGAGACAGAACTGACCACAACTCAAGGAAATAGCCCCCTGACCACAGCTGGACTCATGAGGCTCAGAGAAACAAAACCACCAGTGATAATTGTCTTTATGAGTGTTTTAGTTTGCAGCCTACATCTTGTGTCAAAAGGGGGAGATCAATGAGAAGGCTTTGGCTGCTCCTGGTCAGAGGGGGAACGGTATATTTTTTAGAGGGAGAATCTGCTCTCTCTGGTGTCACTCATGTCTCTCTGCTCTCTCTTTCTTGTCTCTCTCTGATCTCTCACTGTTACCTCAATCCTCTCTCTGCTGTCACTCTGGTCTCTCTTTCTCTCTCTTGTCTCTCTCTGGACCACTGCCTTTTTGATTTAGGGCGATGCACAAATACAATGAATACAATTGCTTGTCCATGAAACTTGAACTGGAAATTGTTGATCCAAATAATGAAAAATAAAATAAAACCGGATACAAAGACTTTAAACCAGGACATAAACCCCAGTCTTTTGTTTCAAAGCACAAATCCTTAGACTTCTGGAGCTCTTTCCGTCCTGCGTGTAACCCAGTCCTCTCTTCCACCGTATTTATTTGTGGAATGTCTTTGAAGCTGATGGAAACTTCTGCTCTGTTGTGTCTGGTCTGCTCCCCCTCCTCTCCGAGCGCACGCCTGAGCTAACATCTAAACACACATGAAAGAGCCCCCCGGAGTAATGGAAGCTCGGCACGGCACACGGACCACCACCAGAAACACGCACCTTTCTTGGCACTCTGGTCCTCACAGTTCTCAAAGGTGCAGGGCCCCCAGGCACCCCAGGGAGACACCTGGCACTCAATTGGGCAGGGAAGGTGGCAGGCCTGGGAGCGGTTGGGCACTGGACCCCCGCAGAGTCTGCTCTCCACTGGTGGGGAGGCTGTGAGGAGAAAGAGACAACAGACTGGATCAAAACCAAAATGGACAGGTTCACATGTCGTCCTTCTGATCATGGTTATTTGTATAGCACAGCTTATATTCAGCGTACAGTGCTAAACAAGAAAATAAATAATCACAATGCATTAAAGAGTTTAGAACTCTTGGGCATGCTCTACCTTATTGTAAAGCTCAGAACCTCTGAAATGTATTTGTGTTTGATTTTGTGAGAAAATAGCCCAATTCCAGCTGTTGTGTGTCTCAATACACATAACAACCCAATTGGAACCATTGTCTGTCTGGGAGCCTCCTGAGTCCTGGATCCCCAGCTGTCAGTTTGTGGGAGCCAATCCTTCTCTCATTAGAAGCCTCCCTTAGGTTTCTCACTTTTTCCTACTGGTTTTCTGAGTGGTTCCTTGCAGGAACGACAGTGATGATCCAGGATATTTCTGTACATTGATTAACATTTCTGGACAGTCCTCCTCCTTATGGACCAATGGCTCCTTAGGGTTTGTGATTTTTTACATTTCCTGTGTTCCAACTGTTTGATTCTCTGATTGTTGCTGGTGTCCACAACTTTTTAGAGTCCTCAGAGATAACTGCTGTTGTGATTTAGGGCGTGACACAAATACATTGAATTGAATTTAAAGCCCATTAAACTCCTGAACACCGTCAAATCAGTTTTAGACAAGTCTTGTTTAAATGAAGTGGCCATCTTACTAAAAGTACCTGCTCTACTCAGGGTTTACAGTATGTAAGTGTTGACCTTTCTTCTCTCTCCTCCGCTCACAAAGCTCTCCTCTCCGACAGTCACTCCCATGCACAGTCTTTTGTTTCCTGGAACCCCCTGACTTCCCTCCTCTATCTCCATCCACAGAGTTCTGCTCCGTTATCGTACCATTGTGTATGCAGAGATGCCCCAGTTCTGTACCGTCAACCCGCTCCCCTGTGCCTGCGCCTCAGGGAGATAAATTAACCGTGATTATCTGGCAACGGCGTCAAGAAGGCCATAAACCGTGGATATGCACAGCCCACACACGGGGCTAACTCAAACCATATGGAAGTGTAAAGAAGAGGTTTACACAGGGAACCGGAGAGCGAGGAATCCCGGGGGGGTTTGAGCAACGGAAAACAAATCTGGTGTCAGGAGGCAAGCGACACAATGCATTACACACACATATACAAACACACAAACACACACACACTGCAGAGGAGAGAATGAGGATATGGGATGCAGGTATGTGAATGTATGAATTATTTTTATGGGTGTGGGTGTGTGTCTCAGCCTGCCTCATACATACTTCCTATGTGTGTGTGTGTGTGTGTCTGTGTCTCAGACTGCCACACACATACTGTACTTCCTAACCACTACATTAGTACATTCACCCCTTCAGTGCAAAACATGATATAATATGAGGGAATAATTGCGTGAATGGAGTGGATTTTTATCTGCATTCTGACTGTCTTAAAACAAGATTTGCCAGGCCATTTACTCTGATTTCAACTGTTGCTTTTTTCTCAGTTTTATTTTTATTTTTTATCTTTTATACAAGATGATTATGCTTGTTCCATTGTCAATTTTTTTTTACGGCAGTTAAAATGTGCTCAAATTAAGATACATGTAGTATCATTTACATTTTACATTGATAAATATCCCTGGTGTTGGGTTTCACAGTCCTGACCTCTGCTTCATAAACCTGCCCAATAAGAAAAAAATATTAAACCTTTATATTTCCACTATGGAGAAATTACAGACATTGGATGTCGCAGCTGCAGCAACAGTAACTTTCATCCCACAAATGTCTGGTATACAAAGAATCCGAGGTTCTCCAAAAGAGCTGGATTAGTCCGGTGTCTCTGAGCATCTGCGAGAGGAGCTCAGGGTTTTGCATTTCAAAAAGGATGAGGTGGCGGTAAGCTCCCGAACGGCACAAATCAAAGCTCCGGTAAAACATGACTCCGATGCTACTTTGAGGAGGATTGAAGCAACTTAAAATGGGATTGTTTTTGGAAGTTGAAACAAAATACCAATCCAATGGTTCATTGGATTGTTTTGAGGGTGAAAAAAGCAGAGAGCAGTTTGGGATGTCCCCATGAAGACAAGGTCAATCCTCAAACAGCCCCTGGTACATTCTGCTGCCCCAGTCCTTTCTGTGTGGAGTTTGCATGTTCTTCCTTGTGTTTTGATGGATTTTCTAGCACCTGGTCTTCAGTGAGGTACATTAGTCAACATGCAAATGCAACATAGAAATGTTCCATTTTTATACCGTTCTGTGCATAAAAGTTCAAGTGGATTATGACAAAAGCAAGTTTACTGCTGGATTTGGACATGGACGGGTGTTTGGTGGTGGTATCCCTTTCTTACTGCTGATTTTACACACAGTGCTTCCCAGAGCTCCCAGGGGATGGACTTGTGTTCACTTTTCCAGGGAGATGACTGCGGTACAGGTTGGTCTCCAGAGGAAAGATCATGGCATTTGAGAAATAGCTTTTACCGTTATTAAATTATTCTGTGGATAAACGTGTTGAGGAACATGACCTGTAGTATCTCTGCATCACTGGCTTGTCTCCTTGGTGACCGATGTCTTATACCACTCGGGGGAACATTATTAAGATGACCAAGTATAAACATCTTCATCTAAACAAGCAGGGGACCGACCCAAAGAAGCTGCAGTATGTATTGTTACTGATGGCTAGGGAAACAGACGAAACAGACACGTGTTCGATGACTCCTCCCAATGTCTGTACTTTTAGAACTCTGCTGCTGCCCTGCAAACACATTTTTGTTGATAGGTTTAGTTGTTGCAGAAGAAAAAAATCCAATCTCCAACACGAAACTCTCTTTCAGTCATTGTATTATTGTATTATTACTGTGGGAGGACGTCTTTAAGCAGGTGACTCTGACTGCTAATTTACACAGGAGGCGTTCACAGCACGTATGCGTTGAGTGCGCGCATACGTGTGTAACATTACACGGCTTCTGAGGCTGTCCCTGTGTTGTCTATGGAGACGTGTAGAGGACAGTACGGACCATAGAACTGATATTGAGAAACAAAAATCACATGTGTTCGTCCTCATGGTCTCTGTGAGCTGGTCTGGCCAGATGAGACTTAATGAAAGAAAAAAAAACTATGTCCAGTATCACTGTGAAACCTGCCAGCCCTCCTGCTAATGTTTAGATACAAGAGCTGTGTGTGTGTGGAGCTGATCTAGAAAAAAATCATGTCTCCCATTTGTTTTGCCCGGTATACATATTAGTGCGTGCGCAAAATAAAAAATCCATTCAAATTTGGGGGCAACCTTACGTCAATGCGTCCATCACGTGTAAGTATAACACTAGTAGTGTAACCATCACCATAAGTTAAAATGGAAAAATGTTACGCAGGTATGCTGAGCGTACAACTCTTACAGCATAAGAGACTGCAGCGGTAGCACAAAACAACAACTGTTTGAGAGCTACTTGCCGTTTTCCAGCGCATTCAAAAGTAAATAGAAAGCAGTTTGATTAGTACATCCTGTTTTGTTCACTAACATGGCACAGGAGCTGGTACAGAAGTAGTTAGGAGATGCTATACAATAAACAAAATACATAATACATAATCTTCTTGAACATTCTAATAATATAAAATGTAGTAGCAGCACCCTTGTGCGGATTTTAAACAGCCTGTGGAGGCATAAAAATAAAACGGCATTGAGCATCAAATGGCAACATCTGGTCAGTATCATGGCTCTTGATGGACGCACCAAAAATGTTGAGAGAACAATATTGTGGCTGACAGAGAAATCACTTTTTAATGTGATTACTGGATAGCGAGAGAGTTAATCCCGGGTCAAAAAACAGACTGGGAGGATATACCACAGCCACAGGCTAGATTAAACCATTTGGATTTGCAATCAGTGGGTCCATTGATGGTTTTTTCCAGGATAATGCTGTAGCTTGAAGGCAAAAATATTGCTGTCAATAATGGATGCAGGGGTCACTGGAGGTGGTTGTCCAGTCCGAGTCAGGTTTGACTTGGGAATATAAAAGTCCAAATCAAGAGCTTAGTCGAAATTATGGCTTTTTAAAACTTTTTAAATAATTACAAGTTTAAATGTCAAAATCAAGACTCCCTGTCAGGCTTCTTAACATGGCAGTAACAGGCTTCTATCATTTCCTCATTCAATAAACCCGAGACAATGTGTTCTCACGCGTCTGTGAGCTCTAAAAGCTGAGCATACACTGTAAAACACTGTATAGGACAGAAAACACTATGCTGGGGGACTGGAGCATGGACATAATGTGGTTCTCTCACACAGCGGTCGGAGTTGGCCAATTTGAGTTGCTGTCCGATGTCCCGGTAGGAGACCAGAGGAGGACCCATGACACCCTGGAGGGGCTGTGTCCCTCAACTGGCCTGGGAACGCCTCAGGATTCCCCAGATGAGCTGGAGGAAGTGTGTGTGGAGAGGAAAGTCCGGGCATCTCTGCACAGACCGCTGCCCCCGCAACCCAGAAACGGATACAGCGGAAGAAAATTAACAGATGGATTAAGTTTTGAAAATGGACACGTCTATAAAAACATAATTTTTTTAGTGTTCAGTCAATTCACCCTGATCTTATCTTGATTAGACTGAATTGCATTATGCATGATCCATTTGTGTTTCTCAGTGAAACAGGCTTGAACAGAGGTGTAAAGCATCACAGATGTAAAGGTGAAATGTAAAGGTAAATGTATCAGAGGAAAACGTACGGAGAAAGGTCCAGTGTCAAGTGTTGAAAGAAACAACACGACATTTGTGTAACACGGGTGAAAAATCCTGTAATGAGTGATACCTCTGTTTACCATACTAATCTTTGCATCTCCCTGCGTGGGCGTCTCGTGACCGGGGCCAATCAGGACAATGTACAGCTGCAGGAGCCGAGCTACCATCACCCTATAGCGCTCTTGATAGAGCCTTTGATCAGTTACATGAGATACATGAGATTATTGATTGTGCAATAGCACTATGCACTTTCACTTAAATGATTAAGTACAAATAGTTAAGCATTTTTCATTTTCTTAATTATAGAAACTTTTGTAGAATAGTTATTGTGATATAGTAGCATCCTATTGCACTTTTAATTATGAAGCGATGTGCATCCTAATTGAATATATTGACTTTGTGTACACATGGATTAACGACAAATTACTGATATATTTTCTATAGTAATTTAGAAGTGTATTAATGTAGTTTGAAGTAATTAGTTTTATGTTTAGTATTTACTAAATGGAGTTAATGAGGGTACTGTTCTGTTATACAGGCCAGGTTTCGATGGCGAGCTAAAGAACTGGAACTAGTCCTGGACCTGCTTGGAAACCTGAACCCACCGACCTCAATAGGGCTGGACCCCAACCATTGCCTCCTTTTCACTCCTCACACGGACACTGACCTCTGGACTCAAAACAATTCCCGGGTCGTGTGGATTTCGCTCTGTTGAGCGCGTGCATTCTCAACCGCGTAGTATGAGTATATGTGAATGGCCATTCTAATTCTATTGTCTGTCTAATTGTGTACAATACATGGTTCCTTTTTAATATGCAACTACAAACCCAGTCTTATCTAGTCTTATCTAGTTTTATCTATTCTTTCTGAGTTGAACTAGCCTAACTACTGAACTTGTTAAACTACTATTGTTAGTATTTATTGGTATTAGCTATTTCATTAGCAACATAAGTGCTACATTTGCATTTTGGATTTGTTCGTAAAGGAAATGAGAGATAATTCACATAAGCAATAATGATGCAGAGGTGGGAATATACAGTAGTAGCTGAATGTCAGCCTGTATTAGTGGGCAGAGAGTTTGACATCACTATACTAGAAACAAACTGGAGCCAATGCCCTTATATGGTTATGGTTACATATACATGAGAGCTGCAGCCCAAGAGAGAGGAGTGCTACTGAATGTAAAAAAGAAAGAAAGTGTTGTAGGGGAAACCGAAGCACCTGGAGGAAACGCAGACATAGGCAGAACATACACACTTCACACAGAAAGGCTTTGTTAGGAGACGGAATACAACCCAGGACCTTCTTGCCGTAAAGTGAGAGACCACCAAAAGGTAATAATGGATATATGATAAGATTCAGTTTTCCCAGCTCTGATGTGACAGCTGGTGATGTTGTGACCATGGGAGGGCTGTTGTGACCATGGGAGGGCTGTTGTGACCATGAGGGGGCGATTGTGACAACGGGTTGGTGGGCTATACTCTACCTGTGATGGTGAAGCTGACCGAGAGCAGGGGAGGCACACTAGGCTTCTGTGGAGTTTGGCTCTGAACGGCTGAAAAGTACAGGGACATACAGGGACGTTAGCTAGGCCACGGCACTACTGGAAGGGGAGGACGAGGGGGTAAGTGTGTGCGTGGGTGTGTGGGGGAGATTCAGAGGGATCAGGTTTTTAAAGAGACTCATATAGAGATGCACCGATACTGATACTGGAATTGAGATGATACCACAGGCTTGTGCTCGTACTTATACTCTTTCCATAGGACCCGATGCCGGGCAACCGATACCTACATTTTTCATTTACATTAGCGTCACAACAGCAGACAACTGTGCGGCATGTGTGATCTCCAAACGTCGGCAGCGAGCAGCTTAGCTTAGCAGCAAGCGGACAGGATCTCGGCCATACGTAAACAAGTGACAAGAGTAAAGCGTACTGTACGTAATGTTCGTAAAGGCTAAACTGTCACGAGGTGGGTCCAAAACAAACACATCTGAAAACCAGCAGAGTATAGCTAGCCGGTGTGGACTACGACCGGTCCGAGTGGATCCTCGACTACCTCACAGACAGACCCCACTTTGTGAGAACCAGGGACTGCGTGTCTGAAATCCTGACCTGCAGTGTGGGGGCCCCCCAGGGGACAGTCCTCGCGCCGTTCCTCTTCACCCTCTACACTGCGGACTTCAGACACAACACGGACGGTTGTGTTCTACAGAAGTTCTCTGACGACTCTGCCATCATCGGACTCAGCTCCGAGGACGATGACACAGAGGACAGAGGAGTTATACAGGACTTTGTGGACTGATGTCAGCGGAACCACCTCCTCATCAACGTGAGGAAGACCAAGGAGATGAACCACCTCCTCATCAACGGGGGAAAGACCAAGGAGATGAACCACCTCCTCATCAACGTGAGGAAGACCAAGGAGATGAACCACCTCCTCATCAACGTGAGGAAGACCAAGGAGATGAACCACCTCCTCATCAACGTGAGGAAGACCAAGGAGATGAACCACCTCCTCATCAACGTGAGGAAGACCAAGGAGATGAACCACCTCCTCATCAACGTGAGGAAGACCAAGGAGATGAACCACCTCCTCATCAACGTGAGGAAGACCAAGGAGATGAACCACCTCCTCATCAACGCGGGGAAGACCAAGGAGATGAACCACCTCCTCATCAACATGAGGAAGACCAAGGAGATGAACCACCTCCTCATCAACGTGAGGAAGACCAAGGACATGAACCACCTCCTCATCAACGTGAGGAAGACCAAGGACATGAACCACCTCCTCATCAACGTGAGGAAGACCAAGGAGATGAACCACCTCCTCATCAACGCGGGGAAGACCAAGGAGATGAACCACCTCCTCATCAACGTGAGGAAGACCAAGGAGATGAACCACCTCCTCATCAACGTGAGGAAGACCAAGGAGATGAACCACCTCCTCATCAACGTGAGGAAGACCAAGGAGATGACCCACCTCCTCATCAACGTGAGGAAGACCAAGGAGATGAACCACCTCCTCATCAACGTGAGGAAGACCAAGGAGATGAACCACCTCCTCATCAACGTGAGGAAGACCAAGGAGATGAACCACCTCCTCATCAACGTGAGGAAGACCAAGGAGATGAACCACCTCCTCATCAACGTGAGGAAGACCAAGGAGATGAACCACCTCCTCATCAACGCGAGGAAGACCAAGGAGATGAACCACCTCCTCATCAACGTGAGGAAGACCAAGGAGATGAACCACCTCCTCATCAACGTGAGGAAGACCAAGGAGATGAACCACCTCCTCATCAACGTGAGGAAGACCAAGGAGATGAACCACCTCCTCATCAACGTGAGGAAGACCAAGGAGATGAACCACCTCCTCATCAACGCGGGGAAGACCAAGGAGATGAACCACCTCCTCATCAACGCGAGGAAGACCAAGGAGATGAACCACCTCCTCATCAACATGAGGAAGACCAAGGAGATGGTGGTGGATTTCCGCAGACGTCACTCTGCTGCTCCAGCTCCAGTGAACATCCAGGGAAAGGACATTGAGAGAGTGGACTCTTACAAGTACCTGGGTGTTCATCTGAACCACAAACTGGACTGGACTCATAACACAGACGCCCTCTTCAAGAAGGGCCAGAGCCGGCTCTACCTGCTGAGGAGGCTCAGGTCTTTTGGAGTGCAGGGGCCACTCCTGAAGACCTTCTATGACTCTGTGGTGGCATCAGCCTCTTGTACGGTGTGGTCTGCTGGAGCAGCAGCATCACAGAGAGGGACAGGAAGAAGCTGGAACATCAGGAAGTCCAGCTCAGTCCTGGGCTATTCTCTGGACACAGTGCAGCAGGTGGGGGACAGGAGGGTCCTGAGCAAACTAAAATCTATGCTGGACCTTGACTGTCACCCCCTGCAGGACACTCTCTCAGCTTCAGTGACAGACTAATTCACCCTTGCTGTGTGAAGGAGAGGTTTCGCAAGTCCTTCCTCCCTGCTCCTGTCAGGCTGTACAACGAGAATGTGTAACAAGAACTGCTGATTCTGTACAAATGTCACTGATAGTTCTCTATAGTAACTTGTCACTAGCCACTTTACCTGCTGTTAGTATTGCTGTATTATCACACATCAATCTGATATTTCTGCCATTCACAAGCCACTTTACCTGTTGATATTATTTCTGATATTTATTCTGTTCATATGCATATTCCCATATTCTCCGCTGTTAAAGTACATAGACATCTGTAAATACTTTTGAACCAAGTGCAATTATAGCCCAGAGTTTATTTTATTTTATTGTATTCTTATCTTAATTTTGATTGTCTATTATCTTAAATAATAGACTTATTTGATGTGTGCAATCTGAGTGCTCTTATTTCCTCTCTCTGCTGTAATGCAACGATGACACTGAAATTTCTCCACTGTGAGACGAATAAAGTTTAATCTTATCTTATCCTATCTTAGCACCGGAGCTGTCAACGGAGCACAAAAACAACCAACTCTACAACATAGCATTTGTATGGGTGGAATATGACAGTGGCTCTTATTGTTGAATGTTGAACAATTACTAAAATGTTTAACTGCACATTTTCACACCAGATGAAGAAGTTAGTAAGAAAGTAGATCTACTCTAGTCCCACACTCTCACTAATCACAGCATAACCTACCTAATTTTCACCCTCCCACCTAATTTACCCACCCCCACCCCCTACCATTAACACCTCACCTACATTTACTCCCCTACCCAACCACCCCCAACCCCCACACATCAAAACCCCCACATCCTAATTATAAATCTCACTTCCATATATTCAAACCCTAAACCACATTCACCCCCCCCCACCTACAACATTAACACCAACTACCATACACCTCTAACCTACCATTTAACATACACCATACCACATCACCCATCACATACCACCCCCCTTCCCCCCCCCATTAATCCCACCACCAATCAACCCCCTAAACCCTACATTCAACCTCACCTAATTCAACCCTCCCATAATTCAACCTCCACCTACATTCAACCCTCCCACTAATTCAACCTCCACCTACATTTACAACCTCCACCTACATTCAACCTCACCTACATTCAACCCTACCCTAATTTAACCCTCACCCCAATTCAACCACCCCCCCTACCATTCACCCACCCTCCCACCTACCATTCAACCCTCCTCCTACCTCACCCCTTACCCTACCCCCCCCATACATTCAACCTACCTCCACCCCTTTTACCCTCCCCTACCCCCCCCTACCCTACCCCTATTTACACCCTCCACCTACCATTCACACCCTCCCACCCTACATTCACACCCCTCCACCTACCACATTTTACACCCTCCCACCTACCATTTACCCCCTCCACCTACCATTTACACCCTCCACCTACATTTACACCCTCCACCTACCATTCACACCCTCCACCTACCATTTACACCCTCCACCTACATTTACACCCTCCACCTACCATTCACACCACTCCACCTACCATTACAACCCCCTCCACCTACCATTTACACCCTCCACCTACCATTCACACCTCCCACCTACCATTGAAACCCTCCACCTACCATTCACACCCTCCACCTACCATTTAACCCTCCACCTACCATTCACACCCTCCACCTACCATTTACAACCTCCACCTACCTTTACACCTCACCACCTACCTACCACACCCTCCACCTACCATTACACCCTCCACCTACCATTTAACCCTACCCTACCATTCACACCCTCCACCTACATTACACCCCTCCACCTACCATTTAACCACCCTCATACACCCACCACCCTACCTACCCTCCACCCACCCTCCACCCACACCTCCCACCTACCATTATTCCCCCATAAACTCAACACTCAACTAATTTCACCCCATCACCTCCATTCTAACACCACCACATTTACCCCACCACCCATCCCTCAATACCCCTTACAACCAACTCCCAAAATCCCTCAACTCTCCCAAATCATTACCCCAAACACCTACATCTAACCCACCTACACTTAATCATATCCTAATATTCACCCTTCCACCAATCTCATTACCCCCCCATACATTCCCTCACCTACACTCCACACCTCCCTAAACCCCCATACTTCCACTCACCCATTATCACCACCTACCCTCCAACATCCTCCACATACATCTATCTACCTCCATTTCCCCTCCCATCATCCCCCTCACACAATATCACACTCCCTACCTTCCCCTCACCCACCCCCATTCCTCCTACCAACCCCCAATCCCTCTATACCCACCACCCTCCTCATTCCCCCCCCCTCAAACCCCACACTCACAAACCCTCATACCCCACCACCCCCTACCCAAATACCCTACTCCCCCCTCCTATCCAACCTAAAATCCACACCCCATAAACTTCCCCAAAACCCCCCTCCTACCTACTCCACCCATACACAACACTATTCACACCACCATTATCTCACCCCCCCCAACCCCCACAACTATCCCCCCACTAACTCCTCAAATCTCACCCATTCCCCCATCACCCCAACCATCCCATCACCCTTACACACCAACCAATCACCCTCTCCTCCCATTAACATACATCCCCACCCCATTATCCCTCCCCTTTTCACTCTCCCCCCCTTAACACATATCCCCATCTCCCACACCCCCTACCTTCAATCTATCTCTCATCCCCCATTCACACCCCATCCACCCATACTCCCTCACCACCCCATATAACACTCACCACCTCTCCCAACCCCAAAATACCACCCCTCCTTAACTCCCCCCCCCCCTCCTCCCCCCCCCAAACTCACCCCAATTACCATCCTAAACCCCACATCCCATCCACCTCCACACTTATAATACCACACCTCCAACCCCCCATCCTTTTAATACCATCTCCATACATATCTTCAACCTCCCAAATCCTAACAATCCCCCAACCTACCTCACCCTCTTATACATCCATACCACCCTCCCCAACCCCCTTCAAACCCACCCTCCTAACTATTACCCCCCACTTCTTCTTCATTATCAACTCATACCCCCTCTTAACCCCCCCTCCCCCATTATACCCTACTAATCCATTTATTCCCTAAACTCTCCCACATCACTACCCCCCAAACTTTCTCCCCCTTTCCCCAACCCCTCCCTCGCATCCCCCCCACATAAACTCTAACAATCAACACACATAACCCCCTTCCCCCCACACCCATAACTTCCCCATCCCTCTCTCTAAACACAAAAATACACCACACCTTAATATATTATTCTATATCTCACACATCAAATCAGAATACCTTAACAAAAAAAATTAAACATAATAAACATTCCTATTTATCTACTATACTTATTTTTAACCACAAAATCACAAATCCCCCCCCTCCTCCCCACCTCCCTTCATCCAATTTTAATACACAATCAACCCCCCCCTCTTACCCCCCATACCCCACCAAAAATAACATATTTCAACCATTCGTTTCCAAAAACACTCCACATATCCCCCCCCCCCACTCCACCACATATTCTATGTTTACCTATCCATCCCTCTTATATTAATTAAAGACACTCTTAATTATTCACATCAAACTTCCACCTAACAATTCCAACTGTAACCCTATTCAACACAATTCCCTTACCCAACCCACCTCTTATTAATGCCTTTAATACACACCCCTTAGTATTTCTTCATAAATTCCCCGTCAACCCCACTCTCCCAGTCCGCCCACTAATTTATTATCATCCCAATTCTCCAACTCCGTTTTCTCATAATTTACCTAAACACACTACCACCCAACATAGCTACTACACAAATCTTACCCTCCCAATTTTTTCCAACCTCCTTTTTATCGTCTCTCTCTGATCCTGGTTACTATATTAATAAAATTTAAGATCTAAGAATCTCACTATAACATGTTTTCTCTCACTCACCCCCTATACTAGATTCATATGTACAAAATATATATCATATTCTCTTCTCCCTGCCGATCAAGAATCTGATGCACCATACGATGTCTAACCCGAGAGTGTCTCCCCGAGCTCGTCCTACCCCGTCCTACTCGAGATGAGCCCCATAGCTGTAGCCCTTCTAAGAGAGTAGCCCATGAGCTAACCACGTTAGTTTCCCCATAGAGATTTTGTCTGTAGCATCCACCAGTGATCAACACAGCCAGACATATTTATTATGTTCACACTCTCCTAACTCGCATCTCATCTATCTTTACATGGTCACCTACCAATATTATTCTCCCCACTCTGCCAACTCCCCCCTCCCCACCCACAAACTCCAGCTCTGTGAGCTGGTTCACCCTGAAATTCGTTTTAGATTTAAAACACCCCCTCCGTACACAGCAGGCTTACAAGGATTATATTCCCAGTAAGTGGCATGGGGCCGGGGGTGCGATGTGGGCACCGCTGAATGCCCATCCGTGCTCCAATATTCAAGATCGCATGAGTACCGCATACCTTCCATCGGCCGTGATATCATCAAATCAATAGTCAATTTGCAGCTAGGTTGACCCATGCGATTTCTCACCCTAGCCGCAGTTGCTAATGGACAGCCAGTCCCCAGTTTCCCATGAGACACTTACACGATCCATGAACTTTACGCCATACAGTCCGCACTTGGGGTTTACCGCACTGCCAATAGACTAACGTACTTCTATCGCAACTTTCCCCCTGGCATACCCCGCCCGGTCACTGCAAACTCGCACACATGCGCCCCACACACATTCTTTTATTGCGACGGGCCCCCCCCGACCGTACAAAATGTCTGGCGGATGTATCCAACATATGCATCCCACCGTTTATTCAATCGTGTAGATTCAGGACTTGCCCTCAATTCAGAACAGCATCGCCTCGGAGGATCCGTGCGTCCCTTACAACAACTGGCAACGTATACATTGGTCCATCCAGGCCCGAGGTGAAATTGAGTGCTTTTTTGATCCAGTACTGCTAGGGCTCTAGATCCATGGATCGGAGGCCGTAGATCCATACTGAGTGAGCTGAGGCTGTAGATCCAGTAGACTGAGGCTGTAGATCCAGGACTGAGGCTGTAGATCCAGGACTGAGGCTGTAGATCCAGGACTGAGGCTGTAGATCCAGGCTGTAGATGAGGCTGTAGATCCAGGACTGAGGCTGTAGATCCAGGACTGAGGCTGTAGATCCAGTACTGAGGCTGTAGATCCAGGACTGAGGCTGTAGATCCAGGACTGAGGCTGTAGATCCAGGACTGAGGCTGTAGATCCAGGACTGAGGCTGTAGATCCAGGACTGAGGCTGTAGATCCAGGACTGAGGCTGTAGACCCAGGACTGAGGCTGTAGATCCAGTACTGAGGCTGTAGATCCAGTACTGAGGCTGTAGATCCAGGACTGAGGCTGTAGATCCAGGAGACTGAGGCTTAGATCGAGATCCAGGACTGAGGCTTTAGATCCAGGACTGAGGCTGTAGATCCAGGACTGAGGCTGTAGATCCAGTACTGAGGCTGTAGATCCAGGACTGAGGCTGTAGATCCAGGACTGAGGCTGTAGATCCAGGACTGAGGCTTTAGATCCAGGACTGAGGCTGTAGATCCAGGACTGAGGCTTTAGATCCAGGACTGAGGCTTTAGATCCAGGACTGAGGCTGTAGATCCAGGACTGAGGCTGTAGATCCAGGACTGAGGCTGTAGACCCAGGACTGAGGCTGTAGATCCAGTACTGAGGCTGTAGATCCAGTACTGAGGCTGTAGATCCAGGACTGAGGCTGTAGATCCAGGGACTGAGGCTTTAGATCCAGGACTGAGGCTTTAGATCCAGGACTGAGGCTGTAGACCCAGGACTGAGGCTGTAGATCCAGTACTGAGGCTGTAGATCCAGGACTGAGGCTGTAGATCCAGGACTGAGGCTGTAGATCCAGGACTGAGGCTGTAGATCCAGGACTGAGGCTGTAGATCCAGGACTGAGGCTGTAGATCCAGGACTGAGGCTTTAGATCCAGGACTGAAACTGTAGATCAAATGTTTTATTTCAAAAGGACATAGTTGTTGACCGAGGGGAAGATGCTTTGAGGTCAAATGAAATAGTAATAACTGGAATAAACATCATTAAGAGTTCATAAGGAATAACCAAAAACTACTGTGAAGTTTGTTTGATATTTCCCAATAATAAAACAGTGGGGCCCAAAGTGGTGCATGAGGGAGCAGCTCGGCCTCAGCCTCGGTCACAAAGAGCTCAGAGCATCCATGTTGTAGACGGATCTGAAAATGAGGAAAGAGTCTATTATTATTAACAATAATAGCTATATTTCTGACAAACTGTTTTAGAACTATGTAAGCAAGACAAGCTTTAGTGTGGATGATTATGACCTTACACAAGGTAAAACAAGGCAAGATTTGTCTCAGTTTCCACCAGTAGTAGTCCCTATTCTACTATATTTTACTCTATTCTACTCAGTATCCATTAAAATTCCTTGGATAGAACCAGGGCCAGAGGGACCTGATGCCTAGTAAGCAGGGTCAGTGGAGTAGAGTAGAGTAGTGTAGAGTGGAGCAGGGCAGACTAGAGAGTAGATCTACTTTCTTACTAACTTCTTCATCTGGTGTGAAAATGTGCAGTTAAACATTTTAGTAATTGTTCAACATTCAACAATAAGAGCCACTGTCATATTCCACCCATACAAATGCTATGTTGTAGAGTTGGTTGTTTTTGTGCTCCGTTGACAGCTCCGGTGCTAAGATAGGATAAGATAAGATTAAACTTTATTCGTCTCACAGTGGAGAAATTTCAGTGTCATCGTTGCATTACAGCAGAGAGAGGAAATAAGAGCACTCAGATTGCACACATCAAATAAGTCTATTATTTAAGATAATAGACAATAAAATTAAGATAAGAATACAATAAAATAAAATAAACTCTGGGCTATAATTGCACTTGGTTCAAAAGTATTTACAGATGTCTATGTACTTTAACAGCGGAGAATATGGGAATATGCATATGAACAGAATACATATCAGAAATAATATCAACAGGTAAAGTGGCTTGTGAATGGCAGAAATATCAGATTGATGTGTTATAATACAGCAATACTAACAGCAGGTAAAGTGGCTAGTGACAAGTTACTATAGAGAACTATCAGTGACATTTGTACAGAATCAGCAGTTCTTGTTACACATTCTCGTTGTACAGCCTGACAGGAGCAGGGAGGAAGGACTTGCGAAACCTCTCCTTCACACAGCGAGGGTGAATTAGTCTGTCACTGAAGCTGCTCACCAGAGCAGAGAGAGTGTCCTGCAGGGGGCGACAGTCATGGTCCAGCATAGATGTTAGTTTGCTCAGGACCCTCCTGTCCCCCACCTGCTGCACTGTGTCCAGGGAACAGCCCAGGACTGAGCTGGACTTCCTGATGTTCCAGCTTCTTCCCTCTCTGTGATGCTGCTGCTCCAGCAGACCACACCGTACAAGAGGCTGATGCCACCACAGAGTCATAAAAGGTCTTCAGGAGTGGCCCCTGCACTCCAAAAGACCTGAGCCTCCTCAGCAGGTAGAGCCGGCTCTGGCCCTTCTTGAAGAGGGCGTCTGTGTTATGAGTCCAGTCCAGTTTGTGGTTCAGATGAACACCCAGGTACTTGTAAGAGTCCACTCTCTCAATGGCTTTTCCCTGGATGTTCACTGGGGCTGGAGCGGCAGAGTGACGTCTGCGGAAATCCACCACCATCTCCTTGGTCTTCCTCATGTTGATGAGGAGGTGGTTCATCTCCTTGGTCTTCCTCATGTTGATGAGGAGGTGGTTCATCTCCTTGGTCTTCCTCGCGTTGATGAGGAGGTGGTTCATCTCCTTGGTCTTCCCCGCGTTGATGAGGAGGGGGTTCATCTCCTTGGTCTTCCTCACGTTGATGAGGAGGTGGTCCCTGGTTCACACAAAACTGGGTCTGTCTGTGAGGTAGTCCATGAGTCCACTGAGACAGGTCGTAGTCCACACCGGCTGTCTCATCTTGTCCTTGAAGAAGCCGCGGCTGGATGGTGTTGAAGGCACGGAGAAATCTAAAAAAGAGGATCCTCCAGAGGAGCCGGGTTTCTCCAGGTGGGGCAGGGGCGATGGAGGAGGGAGATGATGGCGTCCTCGACTCCGATGCCCGGCCTTTAGGCGAAACTTGCAGCGGGTCCATCGTGGGGCTCAGAGTGGAGGGAGATGTCCAGGACCAGGTCTCTCCAGTGTTCTTCATGCAGTGGGATGTTAGAGCCACTGGCTGAAGTCGCTGCGGTCTTTGGCCTTTTTCCCCCTATGGTTTTTGGGCACGGTACCACAAGGAGGTTTCCAGAGCTGTGTACCGCCCTCAGCTTGAGGCTCAGGTTGAAGACGCGCTCCGTCACTCCACAGAGTTCGTCTGCACAGGAGCGAAGGAGCCTGGAGCTGATGTCAATCTGGTCCTGGTGCCTTTTCTGGGTCTTTATCCTCCTCCTCTCTGTCCTTCACCTGAGCAGCGGTGAATGACAGGGGTGCAGGGGGGCTGGGGGGAGTGGAGTGCTTGCGTTGGGGAGGACGTGGGCTCAGTGGTGGGGGGGAGTGTCTCTAGGAGGGCGGGGGATGGGGGAGCCGTGGGTGGACGACTGTTGGGGTGCCATGACAGAGGTGTGAACGATCGTAGGTGTTGCCTTTGTTCCGCTGCGGAGTGAGGGAGAGCGCGTCTGCGCCGGGGGAAGGGATGGCTGGTCAACAAACAATGGCATATAGTACAGCTGTGCAGGTGGTTTGCCTGGTCCGCGTTGACCCTCTGCGCTGTCTCTTCCATGGATCTATACTGGTCGCGCTGGTCTCTCCCATGGATCTATTACAGGACGGTGGTCTCTCCAGTTATATGCGTCTCTCTTCGGTCCGCGATGGTCTTGCGCGGCCGGGTCTCTCCGGTTACGGCCTCTCTCGGTCCACGCTGGTTTCTGTGTGCAGGTCATCTCCAGTCTCTCCTCGGGTCTGCATTTGGTCTCCGCGCTATAGTCCACGCTGGATCTTCCGGTTCAAATATTTTGAGATTAATCTCATAACATTTTGGCGATTCATTTTTAAAATTAATACATAATATATTTTTAAATTA